GTTCAGCAGATTTTGCGAACAGTCGTAAAGTTTATTTCCGAGCTTATAACGACACTGTGCGCCGCGGAATGCATCCACGGATCGTATTTTGGCGCTGTCCGACTGTAAAATTCTCCAAGAGACCTCGAATTACGTCTGTCATTGTAATTAATGTTCCTCGTTAGCTTGCTGCAGGCTTGCGGGTCGTGCATTCGATTGATATTCATTTTTATGGAAGATGAAAACCCTCGAAGCCTTCTAGCACCTTGAAATATAGATCCAAAGGTTTTGATACCTTTCGATGAAAAATATACGATATTTGCACCTTGTTTTGTAGAATAATGATTTTGTAGCGTAGGTAGCGTTTGTTGGTGAGATTTGTGGGATTTTGGGCTCCTGGAAGGCCTTTTGGCTCCCCAACGATGAGGAATTTATTCGTAAAGAGGAAGATGGATTCTTGGGGTGATAATTGGATGGGATTTTTGAAAATTTGTAAGATATTGACACGTGGAACAGAGTGGTGAACCAGCAGCGTGCTAACAAGAGTTTCTAATTTTGAAGAAGAATGCCTGATAAAGACCGAACTCTCGTAGATATTTCTACTGGCCAGAAAGACTATGAGGTCGTGCACGATCTCGTTCTTTGTGCACGAGCATCGTGTTGGACACGTTGACACCAACGTGACACGTTAATGACCCAATCTGCCAGAAGATGCGCCAAAATGCACTCGCAGAAACAATATTCCACGTATATTCTTTTCACGGGCTTTTAAAATCCACGATAATCGCAAATAAGGTACGAATAATTGAATTTCGAAATTATTGCAATACAAAAGTGGTCCCTGTATAAAACGTTATTATTCTTCAAGATCCCAAGCACCTCAAGAAAACATTGAATAATACTTATAGAAATACCAAAATTACCTCTATAAAATTTTGTGTTACAAGTTAATTGCTAATCTTAAACTCGATATACACTGTAATATAAAATGCCAATTATTAAATAATTCACTCCTGGAGAGTAAAAATGGCCGTAAAGATACGCCGGAGACTCGAAATTCTAATCAAATGGGAAAAGAAATATATTCGCAAATTTTTCCCGAATAATTTTGACAGACGTTGAAGAAAAACTTGTACCCAGGTCGTCAGCCGTGGAGGATCGATCCCATTGCTATCTGCAAGCCGGTTACGCAAGAACCCGCCACGTGTCCCCCACGAATCGCGATCTGCCGCGATCGACGTGGCAAAACAGGAAGGAAGAGCACGATTGCGAGCAAGTAGCTGTTCGATCGATATAAATAAATCGTTTCTCGATAGTCGGGACCCGTGGCGAACTATCTATTTACAACGAATCATCGAAAGTGATGACATGAACGAGTGACGAATAAATGGGCAGTTATTTACATATGCTCGTGAAACATGAATACTTGAGAGAGGAAGTATAGCGAATCCGTATCGCGAATCTACTCACGGATCACCTGGACTTTCATATTCGCAGGAATCGTCCAGCGTCCGATACATTTAACTCAAAAGTACCAAATTTTTTTAACGAACAATTAATACAAAATCAGGGTTGCTTCGCTATACTTCTCTTCAGACATCTCGCTACGTCCGCGTGTACGCTATTCGCTACGCGTATCCTCGATTTAGCGTAAATCCGAATCGGCACACTCGAGTGTACGTACGTCGAGAGTCGAATTAAATAAATTAACTAATAAAACTGAAAACTAGGGGGTATTAAACATATCTGGCGGTTCGCGACCCTCGATTGTTATGCACCACTTGAGCGTGCCTCGAGTATCTCACTATACAGAACGAGGCAAAATTGAACGGTGTTAAACGGCACTGCTGTGTTCTATTGTTGGTATCCGTTTATTTACATCTGCTTATTTACGTCCAGTCGCAAAGCGAAATTGCTCTTCCTCCTTCGTTCGATTGAGAAACAGGCCGAAGATTGCCCTTTTCAGCTCGCGATACACGTAATGACACCTTGCAGGCGCACACGCAACGCAACCACCTCGCCCGGGCGCCTTAAGACCGATCAATCTTGCCTCGAAATAGTTCCAGTTTCGTGGAACACGCTTCTCTCCACAGGGAATAAAAATCAACGCTGTCCAGGCTGGGCAAACTCCAACATCTTTCAATCCTCCTCTTCGTACACGTTAAATACTATTTAACACGCATGGAAATCAAAACTGATGCACTATCCCTTTTGGAATTCCTCAGTTTCAATACCACGATACTTTCTAGGATTATTATTCCAGTTGTCAAATGGAATCGATCGTTTTTGACTTTCCCGTGGTCGATTCGATCAGCTTATACCTTCTCAGGTTCTCTAATCGCGTTTTAGGTTATGTATAAAAACTGAGGAAACCAAATCGGTGAATTTTTATAGAGTTATCATGGTTTAAGCGATCGTGTTCCATAGATTCGGATATAGCTGAAAGATTCCGCGTCTGTTTCGTGTAAAGACGCGTTTACAAACGCAAGAAGCTTCCTGCATGGACAGCGCTGGCTAGGGGAGCCGCCATTTTGATGCGACTGTCGCGCATCTTGAGGGGAATTCCGATAGCCTTTCGGTGTTCGTTTCTCGCGCGAGTGCCCGGTGCTGCCTACCGTCGTCCTTAGTGACTAGTTCGTTCAGCACTAATTTATTAAACGTAGAATTCCTTAGCTCTAATACTAGTGAGATCATTGTTCGACAAGGTAGCCGAAAGTAACACCGGGAACCGGGCGTGGAGAAAGGAAAACGAAAGAGTCGCCAACGGCACTCGCACTGAACTCGCGTTACGCGTGTCTCGTTCTCAAAAAAAGAAAGAAAGTAAAGTATCGGGGAGATGGACAAAAAAGAAAAATAATAATAATAAAATAAAATAAAACGAAAAAATCGAGCAAAAAAAAAAATATATATGCATACGCACAGTATACGATAGGTTAGGCGTGTTACAACACTGATATTTAAGTCTTTCTCTAGGAGATCACGCGACTGTTGGTCAGGATCGGATTTCGAACGTGTACGTGTAGCTTTCTCCGCTTTTCTCTCGGATCCAGCGGCCATTACCGGCGTACGCCCGATCGGATCTAGACGATCCTCCGTGTCACGAGCAGTGTTCCAGAGACAGGGCGTCGTTCTCGAAGCGATCCACGAGAAATCCACGGAAATCGACGACCTTTCTCTCGCTCTTTCCTTTCTTCCCTATCTCGACAAGACACTCCTCTCGATGGACGAAGGAGGAGAAGGAACAAAATGGTGGAGTTTCGCGAGACTACAAATTTCCGTGATCTTCGACACCGTGGATTCGAAGGGAGGACGATCGAACGACTATTCTCACTCGTCTCTAATCTCTTTTCTCTCCGTACTCCAGAAAATACCACGACCAATTATCACTGTTTTATGGGACTAGACATCTTACTGATTGCACGCTCTCTTTCTGTCCGCTTCCGTCCTCTCGGATGAGCAAGCACTCTTTTCCATCACGTTCTTCATCTTCCATTCTCTTCCACTCGGCTTTCACGTTTCCTCGTTTACTCTCTTTGTTCGTTACGATTGTTCATCGACTTTCGGCTCGCGGCCCTCTTCGGTTCACTCTAGATGGGGGTGCGAACGAAGAAGGAGCGAGAGAGGGGGTAGAACGGAGAGTTCGATGCTTCTTCGCGACCTCTCCCGGTCTACCCCTTTCTTGGCAGCTCGGTTCCAGGAGGAATTACTTGCCTCCGTTCGACGACACTGGCGTGTCCAAGGCTTCGTGTCTAGATGTTCTGTCGACTGATGACCTTTCAAGCATCTGTGGAGGTAGAAAAGAATTTCTATTAGAAAATTTTCCTATGCTTTATCAAATTTTAAACAATCATCCTTCACTGGGAGATCTTTGGAAGAAGTAATTTCAGGAAGATTTAGGAATATCGTTTATGGACCATATATGCAACTCTTTTCTCTTCGCAACAGAGTGATTTGGAAGTTTAGTAGAAACTTTACAGATAGACAGAAGAATTTTCTGACTTTCCACTTTGAGAAGATCGTTCTTCATATTCCATCTGACTCCCCCTAATTCGTCATAAAATTGACTTGCAAAATTTTGAAATTCGACTCAATGGTAATTACGATCCGTCGTCTGATGATCCCTTTAACGTGTGAAGAAATTGAAGACAACCATAGATTTTATTGGATTTTTATTTTAAATAGACCGTCTTTCGTTGGTAAATTTTTGGAAGAGAGAATTAATTAAAAAATTTGACGATATCGATTAAATTTTATGCAATCCTTTTATCTTCGTGGCAAGATCGCCTCGGACGGGTAGTACGAAGCTTTAAAACGGAATTCACTGGGGATACCATCGCGTGATAATTATACAGCGAATCGTTTGTGTTGTGCAGTTGCACATAATTTGCGAAACGCGATTACGAGCAGCAGTTTGGAAAAGAAAAATTAGCCAAGAGATAAGGGAATAACGAGGCGAGCTCGGTAACGCGTGCAACCTCTTTCGCTATGCAAGCGTAATTAAACCGCTCTGATCGAACTCCCTTATCATCCTTGTTTACTTCTTATCGGATCGTCGTTTAATTTCTCTAATAGTTCGATGAAAATAATTCACTGACTCTTTATGCAACAGTACAGACATATAGATCGAAGGATCCAGAAAAATGATTGCCATACGACTCTCGTAAACCGATCAAAAGATGCACAGATCATAGCACAAAAAGTCCACGAAACTCAACGAAATCGTAAAAATCGTATGAAAAAGTCACATTAAATGGCTAGAATCGTGTGTCACGTGACAAAGAGACCAACAGGACTCGCTGAAAGACTCGAGGATGAATATAAACTGCTCAGTACAAGATAAAACTACCTAAACTGGCAACCTAGCTTAAGCTACCACGAGTTAAAATATCTCTCGAAGAACCCAGAAACGCAAAGCAAGAAACATAAAAGATGTAGTCAGTCGGAGTAAATTCTCCATCTTGTCAGTTTCTTGGTCCAGTTCATAGTAGATATGTCAAATTCTCAGAGTCCAGCTTGCACGAGCATAAAAGCTTGTCTCGAGTAGCACGAGTCAACGATCGATGAGATTCCTCGTCTGGTTGCTACAGAACCCCTCGCGACAGGCAGCTAATAAAAACACGAGGACCCGTCAAATGCAACCCTTGAAAGAGGTCGTAAAACGCGTCTCGTGGCCTCGAGGAAGAGCAACAAGATGCCGAGTGAATCAGAAGCGAGTCATAAAACTCGTGCCACCCAGGAGGGACATTTCAAGAATAGACACAGTATGTTGCAGACAAGCCGCATCTTGTTGCAACGCGTTTCTCTGCTGATCATCTTTGCTCTTAGTTGCAGGAACATGAAAGATCAGGCGATCTCTCAGACGAAGACTCGCGAAACTGACGGTGATGGCGCTGCGAGCGGGGACAGGTCCGAGATGGAGGTTAGGCGCTGACGATGATGGCGCTGGGACCGGAGGACAGGTACGAGAAGAAGATTAGAGGCTAACACGATGATGATAGACACCTTGCCAAGACGACGACGCCTCTGTCGTCGATGCCTGCAGCCGCAATGGCCGATGCGATGCCTTCTCAGCGAGTTTCTCCCATCGCAGCCACTGGCGTCGTCCTCCGCGTTAGACCCCTTCCTGCGTGCTCCCTTCGACCCATGGATCCTACACTTGATCGTGCCGTGGACGTAGTCGACGATGTCCGACCTCGATCTCTCCTCCTCCGACGACGAGGCTGCCGGCCTTGCAGACGGGTACGGGTATTTTTCTATCCAGAGCGGACTCTTTCTGCAGAAGGCGGAAACAGAAATGGCGAACAATGAGGGTGAGCGTGGGTTCCATTCGCTGCGAGTTATCGTGGAAATGATAAGCAGCATGGACGGAGATAGAGATGAGAATGACGATGATTTTTGTGGATGCTGGCATGCAGTTTCGCGTTCTTTGACAATTGGATTTAGAAGTTTCATTTGTCATAGTGCTATATTCCTTATATTTTATATTCATATTTCTCACGTGTCTACTTTTCATCATATTAGATATAATATAATACTATATATTTATAGTAATGTATAATTGTTACTATTGAATATTTTTGATATCTGTATCTAAAAGTATGAAGATTTGGTTTGTTTAATTTTTTACATTCTAAGTACTAACTGGAATATTTATGGCTTTTGTTTCTAATTATGTATATCTTTTAATATCGAATATTTATTATATATATTTTGCAATATCGAGTATTTTTAACTGTTATTTATGAGAGAATATATCTTACAATGTCGAATAATATCGTTAATTTTTATCTAGAAAAATATACATTTTTTAATACCGCGAATCTTTGTGTAGTTTTTAATACTAAATGTACTGTCAAGTCCAGAATTGTTGAATATGACATTGGAAAATAGACAGAATGATTATCAGGGCGATTGATGAGTGTTCGGAAAGATGCAGCAGTGTATCGAGAGGATAATTATGCTAGAGCGAATGAGCTCCTAGAATGCAGACCTAGAGTGCACTTTTTGGACACTCGACAATGTTTAATGAAATTATATGACGTGTATGAGTACAAATAGGGATGCCAAGAAACAAGGGTAGAGAGTTGATTCCGAGGGGTCGTATTACCATATTTTATCTAGTATATAATAAACCTTATTAAGAAAAGAAGAAAAGCTCTATAATTACGATAATACTGAAAAATATCATCCAAATATCCGTATTACTATAAAATAAAATTCGACATCTCTCATTTGTGAACCTTAACTATCAAGCTAAATCAATCACTGTCTAAAAAGAAATATAAAAATGATTATACTCAATTACAATCATCCCCAATTGTGTAATCAATGAAAGAATTAATTAGAAGAGAAAGAAAATAAATAAACAGTACACAGATTGATTTACTTCTCTGTTTCTCTAATACTTTTAATCCAATCTACTAACGAACTCGTTTAACGTGTTAATAACAAAATGGCGAAATATTGCGGAAAAAGTGGATGGTATGTCAATAAAATAATTGGAAAATGAGTGCAGCGGAGTGAAGATTTGTTAAGCCATAATTCACTCGTTACACGTCATATCGAGGAATGTTCATGGTGAAAGGCGTGATTATTCTCATTCATCATCGATGCTATCGACGAGGCTTTATTCCTCGCGTTGTCGTAATTACTTTTTGCAGAGGTGGTCGTTGAAGCAAGGAGCCATTCGCGAGGAAATTCTTGCCTTTCGAAGTGTACGAGTCTGGACATTAAGAAGACGCATTCCATCGGTTCAACTAAAGAGATTCTTAATTACAATTGATGTTCCTCGTCAGAGGTTTGTAGAGGCTCTGATGAGGCTGATCGTGTAACGTAAAATAAGATATGAGAATAACTCTTTGATAGAACAAGCAGACTCTACTTGGAAGGCTGGTGTGGCAATTATTAATTGCAATAATCAATTTCGCTTGACGAATAATTGCACAAACTACGAAAAAATGAGTAAAAAGTAAGAAAATTAAAAATCGGATTCAAGTGAAGAGAGCATTAAATAAGGAGAAGTTAAAATACGATTTCGGTTCGAGGATAAATTAGAAATAATCGGTTGAAGCTCGTGAGAAATAGAAATGGCGAAAGGTTAACAACCAGGTTTGATAAATGAATTATGCTAGGAAGATAAATTAAGCGATAAATTAAGTAACGAAAATAAAACAGTTGAAAATCCTAACGTAACGTTTTGTAATGGTTTATATATCGAGATAAACTCTTAGTATAATTATTAACGCGAGTTGGCAAGTAAATACATAGCCAGTGACGAAAGGCAGTCTTATTCGCTGAAGTTGACACATATTGATATAATACCAAATTGTTTATAATATCGAACTTATAACATCTCTTTTTGCTTGTTTAGCGTGTTACTTATCTTATTTATGTGTTTAATATTCGCGTTTCCCTGAACTTTTATACTCAGTCTGGCATAGAATGTAAATATAATAAATATTTCCGCCTTTTTTCACTTTTTCCTTTTTTTTCCCCGGTTAAAATATGATTCATACTGTTCGGAATAATTTGACTCGTACCGAAATAACCTCCGATAACAATCACGTGGCGGTGTGTAATATCGTGTGCATAAAAGTGTCGAAAAAGCGTAATAAAAATTATCTGCACTCTAAAAATATTAACGAATCTATTAATAACGAGATTATTGGCGAGGGATCGATATCGGCGAGTGATAGAAAAATGGCAACTGTCGTAGCGAGATATTAGACTGCTTCAAACTTAAACAAACGCGAGAAAACTTCAACCACAGCCAAGATTTTTCTCTATAAAACGCACAAGCAAACTCTCAAACGTCAAACCGAAAGCCGAACAAAACTAGCCTTCCTCAAACATCGTACAACCTCGTCAAACGCGAGCAAACACCTCGGCAACTTCGTCAAACAACCTCTCGAACTTCGCGCTATGAATAGCGAGGGTCAACGATCAGTCTAATCGATGTCAAACTACCCCTAAACCTCGTCAAACCTCGTCAAACCTCGTCAAACCTCGTCAAACCTCGTCAAACCTCGTCAAACATACTCAGCCCGTAAAACGGTCGAGATCAGCGCGAAATCAGAGCAACAGAGCTCGCGCATCGCGGATGAAGACCTCGTGCTCACGGAACCAGCAGATTACTCGGAAAGACAGCTGATACTCCGAATGACCGAAGACCATGCTTCAAAATATTCGATTCACGTGTATCGTTGGCCGTATCTCTGGTAAACAAGAGACGCGAAATCGATAATCGAGCGGTGCACGCGCGATCTTCAGCCGAGGATCGAGAAAAAGAAGAATTTGAGGAAGACGAAGACGACGAGGATGAAGGAGGAAGATCCACTGGCTCGTCGCGGGAACGAGAAAGGAGGATAGAAAGGAGAAAAAACTGTAGATCGGCAACGAAAGAGATAGCGACGTTCGATCGTCCTAGTACTTCGGACTAACCTTCCTGGCTGAGGCCACTTCACGCAACCGTGAACTTTAGGAAAAGCGACAGAGATTATCGTGGAGCGGCTGATAATGGCCGCTCTCCCGCGTTTTGCTTCTCTCTCTCTCTCTCTCTCTCTCTCCTTTTTTCTCTCTCTCTTGCTCTCTCTCCCGGTCTCTCTGCGACAATTGAACCGACCGGCTAATAACCACGGCTCCGCCAGCCACCTACTATCGACGTGGTAAAGTCCAACGAGATGAATTCCCTTCTATCGTGGAGAACGAAAGAATAACAAGCAGCTGATTGGAAGCTCAATACGACGATCCAATGCGAATAAATAGGTGCCTTTTGCTGTCCTGCTCGCCTCGGGACTATTACCCGAGGGCACCCAACGGCAGCCATGGGTGCTGCCCTGGGTGCTGCTCTGGGTGATGTCTAAGTTGGTTCTGTAATTGACCAGTTATCTCTCCGATTAACATTGATCTCTTCCCGATCAAGATCAAGTTCTGATCAAGATTTCGAACAGGATTCTTCATAATCTGACGATTCCTTGAATTTAATCCTGCTAGTGTAGGGTCTAACGAGCTTAGATCAATTAAGAAACTTCCTCCAAGTTTCTCGAGAATTTGGTGACTATTTGGAATAATTCCTTGAGCTTGATTTAATCATCTCGATTAGGAATAATTAACGAAGCTTCACGAGACATAAATTTAAACGTAATTCTTATACTCCAAGGTCCAACGATCTTGAGTTACCGATCTAACAACTGTTTCATCGAACAAAGTTGCGCTAGAGTTTGTTAATCCTTTGAAATAATTCTTCGAGTTCATTTCCAATATTCAATCATCAGTCTATGCTGTCATAATGATTTCCAAAATCTCTGTAAAATTATCGTGATTCGTTGATCCCGCTGCCCTGGCAATCTGATAATCTCCATTTACTGATCGATCACAGTTAATTGCCAAAGTTGCACAAGGATCCAGTACCAATTGGAATCATTTCTCGATGACAGAATAGAACCTTGAAACCGTTTCTGTAATATCGGTGAACGGATCTATGGATCAGATGCTGCGGAGATTTCGGCAGCCAGACAAAGTGGCCGAGAATTGGGTTAAGGTGTTGGACCGGGTAACTCGAGATCGATTTACACATGTATCTAGGTTACACTGGCAGTGGACGATAACAGGTCCATAAACGGGCTCTCGAAGGTTTAATCGAGGATCGTTCGATCACGTCGCTCTGTTTACGATCTCCGTTGCGACACTCGCGCTCCTGTTTGATCCCGAGATATTGACAGACGATCGAAATATCCGAGTTTCGACTCTGCGACATCTTGCAGTCGCAAAAGCTTCCTTGTGTTACTAATAAACAATTCGATAAACGGGAAAAAATAAACGGAAAATAAATAACAGGAGTAAAAGAAGCGGCCGAGTCGCAGAAGCTGCTTCGAACTTGGAACGTTAAGCAGCCGGCGGGAAATTAATCTCATGGCCGATAATTGCAGCCGAAATCACTGGAAAAAACCCAAGGCGAAACGAAGGTGGAGGTTGTTGCAAAAATCTTTGCATAATGGAATATTCAGCCGTTGAACGGGCCAATTTAACAGTTAAATCGGCCAGGATTCCGCGAAGTCGATGATTTCCGACAGAGCCGAGACAGGGAGGAAATTGATCGCCGAGCTGAATGTTAAACACCTCCGCGAAGATTGATCGTCAAGGCTCCACGCTGGTATTATTGGAAAGGTTAACGGTGTCAGAGGTAAGCGACCATAATCGGCAACCGGAATGACGTTGACCTCTCAATTTCACCCGGAACGAAAGCGCAGAGATTTACAAAAATTTTCTTCAATCAAATTTCGACTAAGCTGAAGAATAAAATGCGAAGATCCCTATTTGATATCGAGAAGTAACAAATTATAAAAATTTCTAAATAAACAAGGAAACAACAATAATGATATAATGATAATGTCTAAATGACAGTGGTAGTATGACAATTGAAAGTAGAAAGATCCATCGACGTTGCTTTCCTTGAAATCACTGATAGACTAGAATGAAGATCTATTCGGATACTCTGACAGTATAACAGAATAGGATAGATCCTAACTATATTACTCTTTCTCTACTATTAAGAGCTAAAGAAAATCTAATCGAACACTGTAATAAATTATACTAGAAATAAAGTCCATCAGAATCCTATATCGTTTGAAACACCTATTAAATAGGAAAAAAGAAATCTACTAGGACACTGTTATCAAGAAATCCCCAAGACCTGGCAACCACTATCCAGAACTACGAAACGATTCATCAGATCATCGTTCAACCCTCTGATTCCTTTCTTCCCGAAAAGGATGATCATCTAGTATGACGAGCATGACCCCGTGCAGAAGCAGTGCAGTCGCGATGAAAATAGCGTAGCGAAGGATCGCAGCAAGTAGGGTGAAAAAATACCAAAAAGAAAACAGGAGAAACTAACATCCACTCACACGGCGTCCGTAGGATTGGTCCTGTTAGGCTTGCAGTACTGTTCCAGTTGCGAATAGCTGCACTGATGGTAGCAACACTCCTCCGCGAGACCCGGACCCACAGAGTCCTTAGGGTCGTCTTCTCCGCTGTACGAGAACGGCTCGTTGTACCCGCGATCCTTGCACGCCAGGTACAAGGCGTCGCTGAGGTCCTTCGAACACAGCCTGACCAGAGACCGCTTGTAGGGGATGCTGTTGATGGTGTCGAGGAGCGTGAGCAACACCAGGCCGACCAGGACTATCGTCCTGGCTCTGCTCCGTCGAAACATGGCTGTGTTCGCGGTGTGACCACTTCGTGGCATGCGAAAGCGCGATAACGTCTCTCCGTCTTAAGACGTGATGCACAAAGTGCACTGGATGTCAGCCAGGTGACACGGCGAACGACCAACTGAGGACTCTCGTTTCCCTTCGATCGATTCACCGCCGATTCGCTATCAGCCGCATTCTCTGGCAACACGACACGTGTCTCTGATGCTTCCACCCCTCGAGCAACTTGCTTCTTCGCACCCCGTGGTTCAACGGAACGGGTTGGACAGGCGATGCGAGAGCTGGTCGATCCTCCAGCTACGGTGCACGAGGATCCTTCAGAAACGGAACGTGGATGTTGGACTGTGCTCCTTCGCGGTGTTTACTCGACACCGTGGCCAGGCTTACTCGATAGTCCAGGTGACCAGGATCGGTTTTATACGCGCACTTAGCCCAGGTCGACTCGTGATCGTGGGCGTGTGTAACGTGGTCGTCGTTCGGACGACGGCGAAGAGAGCGCGGTTCTCGCTTCCGAAGATGAGACCTCCGTTGGTACCGAGTTCCTCGGTGCCACTGGTACCGGCTTGCCTCGCCACGCGGTTCTTGTTCCAGATTTCACGGATTAGAGGAGAGGAACGATAAGGAGACACACGCGAGAGAGGGGAACAGATCCGAGGCGGAGTAGGTGGCGGAGCATCAGGCGAAGATGAAAGAGAAGGGAGAGGTCATGCTGGCTGCTGGTGGTACACGGCCTCGTGTGTGCTCCACAGTACATCGAGAGAAGGGGTCGATGAAGCGAGATCACTCGATCTTTGTCCCGTTTGCTCGCTACCGAACCGGCTGCCAGACCATCCTCTCTAGGTGAAGCTTTGGTCCCCTGGGTCCATGGGATTACGCGGTCCGCGGCAAGTTCAGACATGGTGGCTCGCGTCGCGTCGTTGCCCATAGTGCTTTGTACAGTTCGTCGAGAGGTAGTCATTTTTCCGTTCCTGGTCACACGTACACGTGGACCACGTATAGACGAATCGTAGTGAGTGGACGGTGCAGTCTGGGACCGACGCGTGCCTCCTAGTCGATCCTGGATGACAAAGGGGTGGCGCTGAGCAGTGGCCGCTGCTCTGACCGGTCGGCCGGATTAATCGCGCAGTATTTCGTCCCGAGTCGATAAATCGTCCGCGTATTTTCGAGCCAAGATACAGGCCGCGGGGACGACGGGGGACACCAGATCGACCTCCTACCCTCGTTTCTTTCCGACGATCGCACCAATTCCGATTATCGTTCAGGCACGGAGAGATCGGTCGCCGTTTCTATGAATAGAAACGTATGGGGGGTGAACGAGTCAGCTGGTCAGATAACGACCGACGTTTCCACTTGCGGTTTAGAAGGTGACGTTCAGCGTCCAACGCGATTCCCTTAGCGGAACCCTTGCTATTAGGCCTAATACAGCGTCACCGGGCGGGACACGTTGCCTCGGTTCAACTATGGGAACAATTGGTCCTGGTATAGCGATATTAAGTGAAGTACATTCCTTCCGTCCGAGTCTATGGACAATTGCTCCCAGTATAGTCATACCAAGTGAAGTACATTCCTTCTGTCCGAGTCTGGGTACAATTGGTCCCAGTATAGCTATACCAAGTGAAGTATGCACATTCCTTCAATTGCACTCTCAGGATAATTGCCTCTAGTCCAGCAGTAGCGAGTGGTAGGCATTCCTTCGGATCAAATCAGGGCATAGATAGTCCTGGTATAGGAGAACCGTGTGAAGTTCCATCGATTGAACTCTGAGGGTAGTTGGTTCTAGCCTAGTATTATCGAGCAGGGTACATGCCTTCAACTGGCTCCAGGAAATAAAGAGTCCTATCACAGCAATACATCCCCCCAGTTGAACTTTAGGAATAATTGCTCCTAGTATTGCGATACCAAGTGTCTCGAGCTCCTTCGTTCAGCTCTGACAACGATTGGTCGCCTAGTATAGCTAGACTAATCGAAAGACATGTCCTTCTGGTCAGGGAGGGTGAATGCGGAGGAACTTGCCCAAATCTTCCGATACTTCTGGTACTTTGACGTCCATTTTGCAAAATGGTTCTGCTCCTTCGATCCCCCAGTTGAACTTTAGGAATAATTGCTCCTAGTATTGCGATACCAAGTGTCCCAAGCTCCTTCGTTCAGCTCTGACAACGATTGGTCGCCTAGTATAGCTAGACTAATCGAAAGACGTCCTTCTGGTCAGGGAGGGTGAATGCGGAGGAACTCGCCCAAATCTTCCGATACTTCTGGTACTTTGACGTCCATTTTGCAAAATGGTTCTGCTCCTTCGTGTTCCTTCTTTCTTCCCTTCTTTTCTTCTCGACGAACAGCATAGAGATGGAATAGCGAGAATATGAACGGTGTCGGTTTACGGGTCGTCAGCATCCGTATCGATTGCTCGCACGCGAGTGTAATCGAAACGTGTCCGGGAGGATTTTTTGTTGTTTAGGCGAAGTTGAACGAGCTGATTCCTTGATTTTTCTTGAATACTGGCCTTACGACCCGCATCGTAAACTATGAAAGACGAGACGCGCCTTGGAAGTTAAACTGGTAGTACGGTCATGGTTTTTATGGATTTCGGTTATGGTTTCTTTTACGTTTCTTTTATTTCTGTTCACTTTCCTGTCCGGTTACGCAAAGGGGATGTATTTATAGACTCGTGTAACGGGTTTCGCGAGTCTCGCGAACATCGATGCCCACGACTGTGTTCGTTGCATTACACGCTGGCTGGTATTACACGCTGAATACAGGAGCAACGGTATGGCCTATCGGGTCCTACGGTTCCCATGGTGCCGCCCTTGCAACACTCGCGATGGTTGCTTTATGAGAACGAAGGAATTTCGTGTTGCATGAACTGCCTGCGAGATCAGGCTATCTAATTCCAGGGTATCTGATTCCTGACAGGAGGAAGGAACGCGATAAGTCACACTTTCCAGCTTCTATGCAGCAGTTATTTTAAAACTCATGACGCCATATTATCATGGACCGTCTCTTTCTTCGTTTCATGTTTCAAAAACATTTTCTAATTCCAGTTCAGAAATGTTTATTCATTTTCATATAGAAATGTCTATTAACGACACTTCAAAGAAAGGGTTAAAACATTTGTTGCACAGATGATTCTTTTAATAAAATATTGGACGATTATTATACATCCTTTTGTAATAGATAGTCCTGGTTAAAAGGTATATAAAAATTGGAGAATTAGGGGAAACTGTTTTCCTTGGATAACTTTGACGAGAATGAAATAGTCAATATACTCAGTGATTATCAGTGACTAAACACATTCGAGTTTATTGAACCAACAATTCCCTTTACATAACCTCTCTAATCTCTCTAAAACAGTTATAACCCTCTGCATTTCAAGAATTTTTACAGAAAGAAACTCTAAGTCGCTTCCAAAACGAGAATCTTCTTTCAGAATCAACAATATTATCTCTTATATAATATTTTTCAAAGAAAACAAACTGCGGATTACCAATATGGACACAGTGGCGCCACCAGAGTCTGAGGACCAACCCTAATAATCCAATTCCACTGCACAAATACTCAAACAAGTAATGAAACAAAATCTCGAATTTTATTTCGCATCTTGCAAAAATAATTTCGCCATATTAACCTTCCAACGAGTTCCATATTAACCTCCCAACACCTCAAAGTTCCTTAGAGCCCAAAGGAGCCAAAGATTTCTAACAAAAGACGGATGAGAGATAAGAAAATCAGTAATCCCGAATTATTCCTGAAATAAAAATGAGAAATCGGGAGACGACTGGTTGTTTCGAGCCGTTATCTGCCACTTTCCGAGCGAAATTGGCCAGGTCTGGTTATCGCGGCTGCCGGCCGCCATTGCGCAGCGAGCGCACCACGTGTATCGGTGCGCCGCATGGCCAGGCCTCCGTCATCACGTTCGCGGTCGTCAGCAAGTCCGCCACGTGTTGCGCGATAGCGATTTTCGCCGGCACGCGATCGTGATTTACGAGCGAATTCCACGGATTTATGCGACCACGATCAAGGACGCGAGAGAGACACGTGGCGCGTCGCATCTACACCCGATTCATCGTTCCCCGACTCGGCCAGGTGAGAATTTGCGTAATCGTATTCCGATTCGACGACGTGGGACATTCCTCTCTATCGAGCCTCTTATCGCGCCAGGCTGATACGCGATCATGGAGTAATTGACTCGTACGACGATGATTAATGTCGGCCTGTGTGTATTTTTCTCGCTCGTGAGTGACTGGACGTTGCTTGGGTAACAATTTAGTCGTTTCATTCGGGATTTATAGTATCTTTTCTTGCTCAAATTTAGAAATATAAAATTGAAAGTTCGTTAAATTAAAATTAATTTTTTTTGAAGGGGGGCGGGGGAAGTATTGTACATTCCTAGGTTGGAAATTTTATGACATTTTTGAGAGATTTATTTTTAGATCATGATATTGGAAATTATGATAATGTGTGAGACTGAAAATTAGCGTGTTTTATTAATTAGAGTGTAAAGATTGGGTTTTTTGAGGATGATGATCTTGGTGACTTTAAGGTTATTTGCAGATGTTCGGGTTTGAAATATTTGAGAGGTCAAGTCTGATAAAAATTGCGGGATAATGAAATTTGGAAGGTTCCGATGGATTACTCGAAGGGTTGTTACCCTCTTGAGCAGCGATGGAATTTTTCGATGAAGATATCTTTATAACTGGAGCAGATAATTTCTTTGGTAGTGTAGGTTAATGTCAGCTCTGTGTGCGAAGTTTTTTACTTCTTTCAAAACCGTCTGTCTGGCAGAGTTGGTAATTTTATCAGTGATAAGTATTTTTATTGAGTTTGCTACGTTCGTATTAATGGCGCTATAGTGCTGCCTCGTGTGCTCGAAAATAGCGAAAGCGTGACGATTATTGTATCTATAATTATTCATACTTCTCACTATCGATAATTCGATTTGCTATTCCACGTAGTCCGCAATTTTCAAGTATCTACGACTAAATAAGTTCGAAGAAGAAAGATAAAGAATGATCGATTCGATCCTGGTATCATAAATCTTCGATGAAAGATATGGAATAAAAATCTTTTTCTGGATGATATATTGTTTGTTTTTTTCGTTATTATCCAAATACCTGATACCACTAACAGTTCGTTAAGTAACATTTAAATGAAATTATACTCGACTACTTTGAATCTCTGTGCTGATCGTTGTGCCCGTTACAGCAGCCAGCTTCATCAGGGGTCGAATGACACACTGATACTCACTATCACCTCTGACAAAGCTAGCTGCAATTCTTGTAATATTCCAAAGGAATTAGGATCAGCTTGCACCGGGAAATCTCGAAGATCATTCTCCCCTATGATAGCGACTTATATTTCCCAAAAAGCCTACCTTCGAGTTTGCACCATATGGACTCAGATCATAAGCAGTGCATTGACATAATGTAAACATAACGCGTAAATTAAACTCTACATTCTTCGTTGATATTAAGATATTTTCTTTTCGGAGATCTAAAACTCCATTTAGCTATACATTAACCTAGATCACTAATAGACATAACAATGAATGACTTGATGTTGCATAA